TGCTAAGTTTAGATACTTAGACAGATTTATTTTGTCATTTGTATACACAATTGTAAACAAAAAGAAATTTCGTTAAGAACAGCTCTCTAGACAATTTCATTTTTAAAGTGCAGCCTTGATAAGGTAAGCAGTAGTAATCAGGAAAAAACATTGTGATGAACAACAGTAATGTAAACATATGGCTTTATAGTTACAGTTCTAACATTCAGTTTTTTTGTTTTTTTTAATAACCCATTTTACATAACATTCAGCAGTCTAATGGCAGTGGGGAAGAAACTGTTGTGGAATCTGCTGGACCTGCATCTGATGCTTTGAAGTCTCTTCATAGAGGGCAGCAGGGAGAACAGTCCATAGTGGGGGTGTGAGGGGTCATTTGATGTTACGGGTTCGGGACACGCAGCGCTGGGATGAAATGTCTTTAATGGAGGGGAGAGGAGCCCCAACGATCATCTCTGCTGTTCTCACCACTCTTCTGACTCTCTTCCAGTCTGAGGCGCTGCAGCCTCCACACCACACAGTGAGACAGCTGGTCAAAATGCTCTCTATGGTGCTTCTGTAGAAGGTGGTGAGGATGGGTGGGGGCAGGTGGGCTCTCCTCATCCTCTGCAAGAAGTACATGCACTTTTGTGCCCTTTTGATCAGCGAGGTGGTGTTTACATTCCAGGTAAGGGTGTCTGTGATGTGCATCCCCAGGAATTTGGTGCTGTTGACCACCTCCACAGCTGAGCTGTTGATGACCAGTGGAGGGGGGTTAGGCCGGTTCTTCCTGAAGTCCAAGATGATCTCCTTCATCTTCTCCACATTCAGGATCAGGCTGTTATCTTTGCACCAGTCCACCAGCTGCTCCTCTTCCTCTCTGTAGTCCAGGTCGTTGTCGTCTCTGATGAGGCCCACCACCCTGGTGTTGTCTGCAAACCTCACAATGTGATTAGTGGTGAACCTGGGGACGCGGTCATGTGTCATCAGGGTAAACAGCAGGTGGCTCAGGACACAGCCCTGAGGGAACCTGTGCTTAGGATGATGACATCATTGGTGTTCTGTCCAACCTGGACTGACTGAGCTCTGTTGGTGAGGAAGTCTAGCAACCAATTACAGAGGGGTGTATTGAATCCCAGCTGTTTCAGTTTGCCCATCAGATGCTGTGGGATGATGGTGTCGAAAGCTGAACAGTAGTCCAGGAACGGCATCCGCACGTGGGTGTTCTTCTCCTCCAGGTTTGCCAAGCTCAGGTGGAGCGCAGCAGAAAAAGCGTCCTCAGAGGATCAGTTTTGTTGGTAAGCGAACTGGAACGGGTCGAATGTTAGTGGCAGACCGGAGACGATGTGTTCTTTAACCAGCCTTTCAAAGCACTTCATCATGAATGGAGCCAGTGCAACAGGCTGGTAATCATTGATTGAGCTGACCTGAGGCTTCTTTGGAACCGGAGTGATGTTGGCAGACTTGAAGCATGCTGGCACTACGGATTGGTCCAGCGAGGTATGACATCAGGCCCTGGGACCTTCATTGGATTGACTCTCCTCAGAGTTTTCCTCACTTCAGCTACGTCCAGGTTTAGTGCCTCCTCCCCCTAGTGTGGAACAGCTTTTACTGCTGGAGTTCTGTTTAGTGCCTCAAAACTCCAAAAAAAGTTGTTCAGTTGATTTAGGAAGTCAGTGTTTGCTGCATCTACCGGGGGGGGAGGGTGTGTTGTAGTCTGTGATCATCTGAATGCCCTTCCACATCCTCCTGGTGTTGCTGGTGTCATGGAAAAGATCCTGGATCTTCTGGATGTGGTTCTGCTTTACTTATCTGCAGTGATGGGACTAACGGCGTTGAAACTAACGGCGTTACTAACGCCGTTACCTTGTTTTACTAACGAGTAATCTAACTAATTACTTTGACTGTAACTATAACGCAGTTACCATTGCAGACACCCCGTTACTGCGCGTTACTCAGGTCGCACAATGAACCTTTTTTCATGATAGGACTCGTGCGCAGCTGCGTGAAGCTGACACCCCACCCACGTCAAAAAACTCTGCAAATAGACTGAATGGTTAGTGCAACGTTAGTGCAGATTTGTGCAGAAAAAAATATTGTTTGTGCTACTTTTGTTTAAGAGATATTAAAGATTATTTTTTAGGTCATCCAGAGGTGCGCGCCTTGTCATGAGAGAGGGGAGGATGAGATTCCGTCTGTCAGTTGAATAGGTGGGTGTTTCTGCTGGTGGGTGTTAACGTACAGCACACACAGAGAGATGGAGAGTGAGGATGACTCCAGCAGCAAAACAGCGTTTTCCACATGGAAATACCGGTGTTACGTCGAGCTGCGTTTCCCCATCACATAACGGTTTCCTCTGCATCTCCACACAGCGCAGGCGGCACGATTCACCGCGCAAGCGACAGGAAACGCGCATGCTCGCTAAAGGCGCGCAACAGTCGCCCTGTGCTCGCGCCACAGGAGAACTGTGGAGAGCGTGAACGATCAAATGATTAACCTGACAACAGCCAGAAATGATAGCCTGTATGGAGAAAGGGAGAAATCTGGATGGATGGATGGATGGATGGATGGATACTCTGCCTTCTCAACCTACTGTATTTTTTATTTTAAACATTATTTGATGGCCTTTGTGGCAGGGATGAAGATCCATATTTTATGTCTCACACAGAGTATACATCTGGATAGATAGATGGATAGATAGATGTTGCAGTAACTATAACAACCCAAACACACAGGATTTCAGAATTAGACATCCCCAGTTATTAATTTCATATACTCACCGGATCTGAATGTCCTGTTATAAAACTTCACATCGCATTCCCCCCTGATGTCATTTACGTTGAGTTGCAATAAATGCTAAACTGTCTGCAGGTTCTTGTCTTTGTCGTCCGCTCTATTCAGCTGGCTTTGGAAACACACGGCGAGAAGGTGGGGGCTGGGTGGTGAGGTTTACGGGGCGAGAAACGCAAAAGTAACGCAATAGTTACTTTTACTAGTAACTAGTTACTTTTATTGTGGAGTAACTCAGTTGGTAACTCAGTTACTTTTTGGGAGAAGTAACTAGTAACTATAACTAATTACTTTTTCAAAGTAACGTGCCCAACACTGCTTATCTGATGGCACGGTTTAAGTTGGCATGCGCTGTTCTTAGTGCCTCTTTGTCAACAGACTTGAAAGCTGAGTTCTGTGCTTTTAGCGATTTCCAAACCTCTCCTTTAATCCACGATTCACTGGTTGGCTCGGGTGGTGATGCTGACGTCCTTAATGCATTTGTTAATGTAGGCTGACACAGTCATGGCATACTAATCAATATTTAATAAGTTGTCAGGTAGAAATGAGGGAGAACAGTCTTCAAGTTAGCCTGGCTAACCCTTTAAAGCCCGATCCAAGAATAAAAAAAAACAGAAAATAACTTTTTTTTGGTTTGAAGTCCCTATTTGGCCTTTTAACAAAATATGTAAAAAGAAAAAACAAAAACACATTTTTGATGTTAATAATTTATTACTATGCGATAAGTCAAGATTATTTTTTGTGTAGTCTTCTGCCCTCTGTTATCAGGTATATCTGATTGTGTACAATAGGATTTTGAGCAAAGTTTTTACTATTAAATTATGCAAAAGGTGTCAGACGCAAAACATTTCAGAAACCGTATGTATCAAATACGATACATTTGGCATTACAGGGTTATAATCTCCAGCAATTATGAAAACACCCTCTGTGTGTGCAGATTGGAGCTCAGAGATAGCCTGGTATAGAGTCTTCATGGCCTTTTTTTGTATTAGCGCTGGGAGACGCATAAACAGCAGTGAAACTAAGCAGACTGAACTTTCTGGGCAGATAGAAGTTAACAGTCAGAAACTTGATGTCTGGAGAGCAGAAGCTGGTGACTGATCTACAGTAGCATTTTTGCACTGTCCGGTATTGCTGGATGCAGCCAAGACTCCGTCAGAATGATTGCGCAGCAGTTACATAGAGTTCCAGTTGGAGAATATCCATTTTGTTTTCCAATGAGCAGACGTTGGAGAGCAGGATTGATGGAAGCGGAGGTCCTGTTCATACAGGCTATTATTGAGCTAGTTCTTATTCTGGCACCTTGCTGTTTTCAGCCACTCCTCAGAGCACATTGGTCCCTTGTTGGCCATCACTATGAAAGTTGTCTGCTTGTCACTGTTAAAAAACATGTGCACATTATACTTTATTTTAAGTTATATCAAGTGAAATATGTAATTGATTCTATGACCAAACTGTGTTAAATAATCTTTTTTTTGTGTCTTAATAATCACAGCGCCTAGCTGTGCCCGTCTCGGTTTTATGGTGAACCCAAGTGGGCTGCTGCTAATTGAGGCTAATTAGCATTAATGTTAAATAAACAAACGTATGCTTCGACCAGTATGTAAAATAACTGTCCTTAAGGCATACTACCCTGCATTTCTAGAGGTTTCCACATTTCTGACCACCCAATTTTCCTAATTTCAATTCATTGCTAACCTGAAACAATCTGAATCAGATTAAATAAAGGGTTTTATTAATTCCATTCCTGAAGGGCCAGTGTCCAGTGACCTTTAAGATATATTGCTGCTTTTACACACCTGGGTCAAAGAATCTGTTTGTTAACAAGCAGGTCTTGGTACTTATCCCGATAAGTAACAAGTGCAGGTCCAACTAAGACCTGCACTTGGACCAATAGGTATCTGTCTAGTGGGACTTAAGGTAAGTTTACTTGCTTTCTGTCAGCATACTGAAGTGATCTTAGGTTTGTGTGACCGTGTGACCAATACCCCAACTCATAAGATTATAAACTATCACAACAAGCTGTATAATTTGCTATTCTGTTGTCTTGAATCGGGTAAGTAGGTTGTCATGATTTTTTTTAATTTTTAAGTAAACTGCCATTATTTTATACAGTTCTGTCAAAGCTTTAGATAATACTGTAGATTCACATGTGTTTTTGAAATTTTATCCATATAACTGTCTTTATATATTGTGTAAAACTGAAATAAAGTGAAGAATGACCCAGGACGGGGTTTACATTTTAACAGCTATTTATTTTCTAAAAGTTGGAAAACAAAAATTTGCAATGAATAAAAACAGCATTTTGCTTTATACAACTAGGAAAATGTATACAGACAAAATAATAGAAACAGATACACAACAAAACATGGTAAAAAGATAAAGAACAGGACATCCTCGCGTCAGTGTGCAAACTGTTTATACAGACAGAAGTGTCCTTTAACAAGGCAACACATCCTGATAAATTATTTAAATAGTATGTATCTACACGCACGCACAAGTCAAGCTCTCATAAACAGCTATGACAAACAAAACAATAATTTATTTGCTCAAAACAGCACTGAAAAATTGTTACAAAGCATATTTATAACCCCTTCCTTCCCACACACATTTTTTCTGGGGTGCATCAAGGCCCTGGGAACTCAGTTTTGTTTTTTTAGATACAAAACTATATACAGCTCATGTCAGAGTAGCACTAGGATTCCTGTTATTTCAAAAGAATGAATATTATTTTTGTTTTATCGTGTTATAAACAGTAATGAGGTAATATTTGTATATTTAAAATATCTTTTCTCTGTAGAAAAGGTACAAAAATCACACTAACTTCATATAAAAAAGCTCTTAGTGAGGAATACCCAATTTACCCTGTAAAGCAGTTTATCAGTTTTTACTAGAATAAAGAATCTGTTATTGGGAGGAGTTTTACTTATTTGGTACTTCCTTTGCTGCCTACACTGTAGGCAAGAGTCAATAAGGTAGATGCATTTACATCCTTTCATCTTGAAATCCTCAAAAGTTGAGGGAAAGAAATCTCTTCACTGACCAAGTGTATGACATCGTCAATTTGTAAGGAATCTTGGCTTTGCGATACCAGGTTAACTGATTTCATTTCATTGTTTAAACTTGGAAAATCACTTTCATCTAATCCTGAGTAAAAACAAATGCAATATCGGCAAAGCTCAGGGTTCTTAGGTTTAAACTAGAATTATGCTAAACTTAATTTCTCTACTCAACAGAGATTCTTAGGTGGAAAGTCGTTCTTTATTCATTCATGGCTAATCTTCCACACTGTACATGAATAAACACATACTCCCATAACATACCCCTTAACTCACTTCAAGTCCCTAACAGCAGAACATTCTAAACTATGCTGTATTTACTCTTTGAATCGTCAAATGTATCTTACAAACCATACAATAAGTAGTCTGGGAAAAATAGAATATATGTTTTTCTTTCTTCGGGATGTCTATCCAAAAAAAATAAAGCAGGAAGGCACACAGGCTGGAAATATGGAACAGAGTATATTATAAAGGCTTTGAAGTGCACTTTTTTCAGAGGAACCCTTCCCATTGTTGGTGTCCATCTTGCAAAGTCAAAGTTTTTTTCAGCTCTCAATAATCTTTGATCCTTAACCAGAAGTTGGCCAATTGGTGCTTTGCCCAAACCTACTTCAAGTTACCCTGAGGCTAACAGTATGACCTTCGACCCACTGGAGAGTGCACAGCACAGAAAAAAGTTATGCGGAAATAAATCAGCTCCTGGACTGAGCAGCAGAAAATCATGTTGTTACTTTACAAAAAATATGTATTCCCTGGGGATTTTGATCATCAAGTTATGCATCTGGTGAGAAAATAAGAGAAGGAAAAAAATAGTTAGCATAGAGTCTAATATGTGCATCAGCTAAAACATTTATGTATTACAAGTTTTAAACATTCCTCAAAGTTACCTACCTCTGCATTCATACTTAAGGTCTGAGAAATAAACCATCTCTTGTGAGAAGACAAAAAGACCTAGCCTGCCACCTGCATACGTCTTGTCATAGATGCTACCAGAATCTGCCATTATCTTTTTACCCTCATACATCACAACTCTGTGGAAAGACAAAAAAAAAGAGAGATTAAAATTCAAAATGTAAACTCCTGAGGCTCATGAACAAAAATTTAATGTGAATCTTTTCATTCCCACCTAATAAGTCCTGTTCTCGGCCTGTGGATCAAATGCCACCTGTAGGCAGTGAAGTCTTTCCATCCGACATTTTTAGGGTCATGCCAGAGAGTGCGGACCTGACAGCCAAGAAGTAAGGATCAGCAGTTTAGTCTGACTGACAGTAGTCTGATTAAAATGAACAGTACAAGTGTAACGTACCTGTCCTGCAGTGTTGCCTGTGTGCCAGAGGGCATTTCTGAGGTGCTCTCCTGGGCCGGTGGTTGAGTTAACCACTTTGATGGACAGGCCTGAGTAGCCCTGGGCCTTGGTGGGCTTACTTGACCAGTATGTCTGTGTGATCTGCTTCCACATCACGACATAAAACCTGGAACTAGACTGGTAGCCAAACACAAAGCCAGCATAATCGTCATCTCTCTCTGTATTTATAAAGAAAGTTCCACTGAAGTCCACGGAGTTGAACTCATGGTAACCTGTTAAAAAAAAGGGAGAGTAAAAAAAAAATGGCTTAAAAAAGATGGAAATTGTTTTTTATGATGAACATTATCTTGACTTGTATGTATTTAGAATAATTTGGAAAAACTAGAATGTCCTAAAACATTAGTTCACATACCGACTGCAATACCAGGATCGCAGTTGACAGTCTGAACCAGCTCTTTGCCTTGATGACGGACGACCCAGTTGGGATCAATCTGGGAGGTGCCTTTTGGATCCAAAGGAACCATCTGGAACTTGCGGAAGTCCGTCTCACTGATATCAAAGTTTTCAGGACACACGTCATAGATATCAGGCACGTTGTCTTGATCAAAATCATCCTTACAAGCATCTCCACGGCCATCGCCTAAAAAATTTGCATAACCTAATTAATGAAGATAATCTGTTGATGACTTGAAATGTTTTAGCAAAATATGTAATGTATTTAAAACTCTTTGTTACCATCAGAATCCAGCTGGTCGGGGTTGAATGCCAGTCTACAGTTGTCTTTGTCATCAGGGATGCTGTCGTTATCATCATCATGGTCACAGGCATCTCCCTTACCATCCTTGTCGTGATCAGCCTGATTGGCATTGGGGATGTATGGACAATTGTCCAGGTTGTTTTGGTGTCCATCCTCATCGATGTCCTGGTTACTGTCACACTTGTCTCCCACTCGATCATCATCTGAATCCACCTACAACCAGTTAATGTTCAAAAGCATATTTAAGTACAATGCTGGCTTTGATAAAATAGAAAACTTTGATTTTTTTTTAAGGCTTTGTTGGAATTCAATATATTTTTGTCTCTAAAATCTGTAATTGTGGGGCTGCATGGTATAGCAGTTTGTAGCATTGTTGCCTTGCATAAAGAAAGCTTGGGGTTTGATTCCCCGACCCAGGGTCTTTCTGCATGGAGTTTGCATGTTCCCATGCATGCAGTCCAAAAAAAATACTGTTGGGTTAATTGGCATGTCTAAATGTCATTAGGTATGAGTGTGTGCATGGTTGGTGTGTCTATGTGTTGCCCTGTGGCAGACTGCTGACCTGTCAAGGGTGTACCCTGCCTCTCACCCATAGACTGCCGGAGATAAGCACCGGCCCCACTGCCACCCTGACAGAATAAGAGGGAGAAGATGGATAGAACTCCAACTGTTCCCCTATTAAGCCTAATAATCATTGCTTTAGCGGCAGAAAGCCTGTTGAGTATTCTGTAGCTCTCAGCTGGGGTGAAGCGCTTATTGTTGCATATGAAAACAACGCCGAAGCGGGGTTGCTTTATTCAAAATTCCTTAGTTTAAGAGCTTTTGAAAGTATTAAACAGTTTTATTATTTGTTGAACAGGGGTATTCTAGGCTTTTAAAGCAGCGTGCAATTTGTTTATAAAAACACTGAAACCAAGGCTTTGACAAAGCCTATTCTACCCCCAAACCCTCTGCCCAATTCCTGCTGTTCAACACATTCCTATTTCTCAGTGTAGCATGGCACAGGTGGATTGAATGAGCCTGTGCTGCATTGACACGGCATGCACATACCCCAGGACCAGCCAACTCCTCAATAATATCCAGCCTAGGGCCTCTTCCCTCACATTAGCCAGCCAATGTCAATGAGCCACTGAAAAGACCTCCCCACCACCATGCCCTATTGAACTAATGTGCCCTTGAGCTGCATACAGGATTTGCTCCACCATTACATGGCGTGATAAAGCTTAGACAGCCACACAAGGCTAATCACCGAGGCTCCCTCTCAATTGAAAGACAGATATATGCTGAGCAAGAGAGAAAAGCTGAGAGCTGAATGTGAATTATTGTTGGTGGTTGAGGCGGAAGGAAATGGGAAAGGGTGTTTGCGTGTTGTGTCCACACACCTGATCGGGATTATTTTCCAGAGGACAGTTATCACACATGTCTCCCACTCCATCCAGATCTGTGTCTCTTTGGTCAACATTGTATATATAGGGACAGTTATCTTTTTCATTCAGTATTCCTGGCAAGTACGTGGAAAATAAGTTGAGAAAACCTTAAATTTTAGAAACATTTTAAAGTAATTTTATGAAAGAAAATTTAATTCCTACCATCTCCATCGATGTCCACAGCACAGGCATCGCCCTCGCCGTTGTTGTCTGTGTCTGTCTGGTCTGGATTACTATTGTAAGGGCAGTTGTCACAGCGGTCCCCAACGTCATCGCGGTCATAATCATACTGCCTGGGATTGTACACGAACGGACAGTTGTCCTGTTTGGCAAAGACAAAATGAGCAACTGATGACAGGTTTTCAGTTGCAGTGCTTATCTTTTGCTGTCTGAACCTGTCTATTTACACGGGGCAAGCAGAGCAAGATGAAAAGGTGCTTTATTTTCAGGCTCACTTCTAATGTTGGGATTAGTGTCAGACAATGCAGGTGCCTTAGCTCTCTGCCTTAGCTTTGGAATGTTTGGTTTTGGCTAAAAATCTGTGAGAAACGTTTGCTTCCCAACTGTGGCCCCAGTCAACTTTTGTGCCAGACATCATGAGAAGTAATATATCAGAACACAAACACTAACCCTGTCATCAGGAATGCCATCATTATCATCATCGTCATCACATGCATCTCCAATTCCATCCTTATCATAATCTTCCTGCCCTGAGTTTGGAAGATTGGGACAGTTGTCCTAAATAACAGAAAAATGGTCAGACAGTTAGAAAGTAATATTAAAAGTAATTTAAACCAAAACCTTGGAGCCTTTTTTCGACTTTGACAAACCTTTTTGCAGTGGTAAGTAGCATTTTCCACACACACCAAATCAGCATTGGGCCATCCATCCAAATCTGTATCCTCCCCACAGATATGACCGTTGCCAGCATAACCAGGCTTACACTCGCAGCGGAACATGGGATCGGAGAAGTGTCCGAGGTAGTTACAGCGGGCGTTTTTGTTACAATCATGGCTTCCATCTAGGCAAGGATTTTGCGGTGTGCATACCTGCAGATTGAAAGGTTCAACCAATTTATCAGACTAATGCTGTCCATTTTAAATCCCACATATTTTCCCAATATTGCTGTCACACTATGCATAATCATACATAGTTGGTTCATCTAGATGGTGAACCAACTACTAGGTTTCCAGCATTTTTAAATCATTGACATTGACTTGTAATGAACAGAATGACTTGCTGGAAACTGTAAGTCTGTGTATAATAAATCTTTGTATTTCATGTTTAACTTAGATATTAAACAAGTTAATAAAATAAATCAGCTTATAATACAATTCCAATTACTTAAATATAACCACAACACACTATGCAGCCATTCAATTTGCACTGATGAATATTGACTTAAATTTGCATTTAAATGGATGTTTTAAACTAGAAGACAGTCTCACTTATTTCCTAAACAAATCAAACTGTGTATAGTGCATCAAACTTTCATCCCCAGATGGTTAGGTGATGGATAAGTATTGAAAAATGAATGCCAACATATCATTACCTCAAAAGCACCTTTCATCCCTTGTTTAGCATAATGAAAACAAGAAATATCTCCTACAAGTGATAGGAACATTCATTTTCCATTTAACATGGAAAAAGAGAAGACTATGTGACAGTAGGTTTACGGAGAAATTGATTGCATTTAAAAGAAAGTTTGTAAATTTAAAGAAAAATATTTTGGACCATCTTGGAGAGCCAGGTCTGCACTTGCCTGTTTGTTAGCAGCAGCTTGCTCCACACCTTTGCCAAACGGTTGGGGTCCCGAGTAGCGAGGGGGGCAGGGGAGACAGTTGTATCCCGGCTCTGTGTTTTCACACCGGTGTACGCCATTGAATTCAAAGCAAGCATCTGGGACCTCCTTGCACTGTTGTTTTTTTATTATTAAAAAGTGTGTTACTATAAAATGAGACATCCAAGGGAATTATTTTTGCTCCTCCTATCATGAATTCATACCTCATCAACATCTTTACACCTTATGCCATTGCCTGTGTAGCCGATGGGGCATTTTCCACACTTCCAGGAACCATCGGGGAAACTACTGCACTTGGCCCCAGAAAAGCAGGGGTTGGACAAGCACCCATCTAAAAATAGTGCAGTGAAAACATATTTTTCATGTCATCTGCTTGTAATTTTAAAAATACTTAAGTGATAACAAATCTCCAAAACTACAATGTTAATTAAAATGACTTACCTATAGGGCAAGCTTTCTTATTGCACATCTGTTTGTCTATTGCATCTCCAACACACTCTTTACCGCCATGCTTTGGGGCAGGATCATTACAAAGGCGTTTACGGGTTTGTACTCCACCACCACAGGTGAGGGTGCATGTACCCCAAGGTGACCAGGGTCCCCAGTTCCCATTAACTGGAGAGAAAAGAGAAGACCAAATTGTACCCATGCTGTGGAAAATGAGCATTGAACAAAGAAATTAAGGTAAGTAGGTAGATCTTACTTGGACATGGAGACATCCTGCACTTTTCTGTTTGTCTGCCCTCTCCCACACAGTCCCTGCCTCCCAGCTGAGGGGTGGGAGAGTTGCAGAGGCGGATACGAGTGATGACACCAGCACCACAGGTAACAGAGCATGACGACCAGGGGGACCAATGACTCCAGTTTCCGTCTTGCTTGACTGAATATTAAAAAAAATGTGATCAGGGTTTATTAAGAATGAAGTAATTTGCTGGATTAATAACTAAAAATTATGTTTTACATATGACAACAAACTTTGCCCTTGTTTATTTTTACTTACAGCGTTTATCACACTCCTGAAGATAGCAATCACGGGTTTGCACAGAGGTGCCCTCGCAGACATTATTGATACGGTCGCAAGAGCGCCCTCGCTGCTGGATGCCCCGCCCACATGACACAGAACAATGGGTCCATTCAGACCAGGGCGACCAGCCGTCCTCTGCATAGTCACTCGCTGCGCAAGGGGGAGCGGCGAAGGAGAATATGAAAAAGAGGGAAACAATTAAAGTTCTTTTCCATAGAGGCAGCTCCCCTTTTTAAACACCCTTAAGCATAAACAAAGAGAGAAATCTCCTCATGTGAAGCGCTAATAAAGAGGATTTTGCAGGGACTCAGAGGAAGAGAAGGCCCTCTGTTTAGAGCCAATGCATAGTACTAACACTCAGGATAAGATGACACATTACATAATTTTAATGTTTTCTGTAATAATTTCCAAAACATCATTGTTAGATTCGGTGACGAGTTCCCCTATTACTGCTACTTTCATTACATGAGGAATTTGAAATGTATGATTTTGTGAACTCTAAAGTGCCTGCTTTATATATATATATCTAAAATTGTCCTTAGGTGTGAGTGTGTGTGTGAATGGTTGTTTGTCCTGTGTGTCTCTGTGTTGCCCTGCGATGGACTGGCAACCTGTCCAGGGTGTACCCCGCCTCTCGCCCATTGACTGCTGGAGATAGGCACCAGCACCCCTCGCGACCCCAATTGGGACAAGCGTGTAAGATAATGGATGGATGGATATATATATATATATATATATATATATATATATATATATATATATATATGTATGTATGTATGTATGTTTGTATGTATGTTTGTATTTGTGTGTGTGTTGTGCATTTTCCCACACAGGACCTCACATACTTTTCTTTCTGCACAGTTAATGGTCAAAGATAAGTGCTTGCAAATGAGGGCATCATTTCTTACGTGTTCCACATCGTGGACAGCACTCCCCATCTGGAACAGTAGCATTAGCACAGGGTATCAGAGGGCAAGAGATCTTCCTACACACAGTGGCAGAGTTCTACACACAAGAAAAGAAATCCAAATCAGGTAAAGAGGATAAGAGATTGGTAAAAAAGACTTAATAAATTATTAATCTTAAAAACTATTGATTGTAAAAGCCACCATGACAGGTGCCATATTATTTAAAATGGTGATGATTATGTCTTTAAACTCCATAAAAATGTGACTTACAGTAACTTCCACTATAGTTTAGACAATTCTGCCTCAGTATAGAAACAACACATCTACTATAGCAGAGATCACATTTTTTGGTTGTAAAGACGTGTTCCCATTTGGGAGGATGAAGTATACTGAACCCTAAACCATGAAAAGAAAATAATTTTTTCAGTATTCATTTCAGTTTCCATGTTTGTTGGTAAAACAAACAAACTGTGCCACAAAAGTCAAAACATGAAGCTCTGGCAGAGAATGGATAAACTCTTTGTTGACAACCACCTGCCCTTGAGGTCAGGACAGTTGTCATAAGAACAAATTCAGGAAAAAAAGAGTAATCAGTCCTGCAGAAGGGCTTAAATGATCTTGGGACACAGAAAAACACCAAATATTGCCACCCAGCACAACCCGCATGAATGCACTATAGGTTTGCATGATCCTGCTCCCAAGCTGGATTTGATTAATGACGGAAAACAATGAGGATATACACTATATTGCCAAAAGTATTTGCTCACCCATCCAAATTATTGGAATCAGGTGTTCCAATCACTTCCATGGCCACAGGTGTATAAATTCAAGCACCTAGGCATGCAGACTGTTTTTACAAACATTTGTGAAAGAATGGGTCGCTCTCAGGAGCTCAGTGAATTCCAGCGTGGAACTGTGATAGGATGCCACCTGTGCAACAAATCCAGTCGTGAAATTTCCTCGCTCCTAAATATTCCACAGTCAACTGTCAGCTGTATTATAAGAAAATGGAAGTGTTTGGGAACAACAGCAACTCAGCCACGAAGTGGTAGGCCACGTAAACTGACGGAGCGGGGTCAGCGGATGCTGACGCGCATAGTGCGAAGAGGTCGCCAACTTTCTGCAGAGTCAATCACTACAGACCTCCAAACTTCATGTGGCCTTCAGATTAGCTCAAGAACAGTGCGCAGAGAGCTTCATGGAATGGGTTTCCATGGTCGAGCAGCTGCATCCAAGCCATACATCACCAAGTGCAATGCAAAGCGTCGGATGCGGTGGTGTAAAGCACGCCGCCACTGGACTCTAGAGCAGTGGAGACGCGTTCTCTGGAGTGACGAATCGCGCTTCTCCATCTGGCAATCTGATGGACGGGTCTGGGTTTGGCGGTTGCCAGGAGAACGGTACTTGTCTGACTGCATTGTGCCAAGTGTAAAGTTTGTTGGAGGGGGGATTATGGTGTGGGGTTGTTTTTCAGGAGCTGGGCTTGGCCCCTTAGTTCCAGTGAAAGGAACTCTGAATGCTTCAGCATCCCAAGACATTTTGGACAATTCCATGCTCCCAACTTTGTGGGAACAGTTTGGAGCTGGCCCCTTCCTCTTCCAACATGACTGTGCACCAGTGCACAAAGCAAGGTCCATAAAGACATGGATGACAGAGTCTGGTGTGGATGAACTTGACTGGCCTGCACAGAGTCCTGACCTCAACCCGATAGAACACCTTTGGGATGAATTAGAGCGGAGACTGAGAGCCAGGCCTTCTCGTCCAACATCAGTGTGCAACCTCACAAATGCGCTTCTGGAAGAATGGTCAAAAATTCCCATAAACACACTCCTAAACCTTGTGGACAGCCTTCCCAGAAGAGTTGAAGCTGTTCTAGCTGCAAAGGGTGGACCGACGTCATATTGAACCCTATGGATTAGGAACGGGATGTCACTTAAGCTCATATGTGAGTCAAGGCAGGTGAGCAAATACTTTTGGCAATATAGTGTAGATCGAAGCAGGAGGAGAAAAAAAGGATTTGAAGTCAACTGAATGATCCGTAGAATTCTTGCCAAGTATCCTAACTTTGTAAGAGCCAAGGTCTTGTTCCTAATTATGGACACCACTTAAAGTCTGTTCAACTCCCTAAGGACCACACTGATGTTAAATGTCTGACAAGAAACATGTCATTACAACACCAAAAGCTGTTAGCCTCCTGCCAAGCATACAACCTACTGATTACTAACCTAAGCAGCTGAGGTGATGGTTAGAGGTTCGTCCTTCAGTCTAAATAATCTTAATACATGAGTTTGTGTGAAGGTTTGATCCTGTCATATTTCAGTGACTATTTAGAATGCAGGAAACACAAATACTAACTCAGGAGAGGAAGGTTTTACCTGGCAAGTGCACTCAGTGCAGTCATCTACGGTCCACTCATCTTTGTTGTTGTGTTTAATGCCATTGTGGAAGCAGATGCCACTATGTATGCCCATGTGGGTTCTAATAAGCTTGTTCTCATTTGTCTAGGATTGCAAGAAAAAAAAAAACATGACATAAATATAAGATATAAGAATATTTGAAGTGGTATCACATTAAGACAGATGGTTAAACTTAAGCACAAGATGAGTTCAGGAAACTATAGATACTCCATTTATAGCAACTTAACCAAAGCTAGCAAATAAAAAAAGTAATTGCTTATTGATCTAAATCAGTTATTTTAAAAAAATATATTTATGTCTGTAGCAAAATGAAAATCAGATGCTTCACTAACTAACTCAGACAAATTTATCAGACTGTTTATAAGATAAAATTTGTCCTGGTATGTAACTTATAACTAAGTCAGAGATGTTCTTCCTCTTACCAGCTGGCGGAGCTCAGTGGACAGTTCTTTGACAACCACACCAAGGCCTTTCAGCTCCTTGAACATGCTGATGAGATCTTCACAGGAGAAGCCACAGACCATCTGTAGATCTTAACAGGAAAAAAAAAGAGTTATGTTTCAGGGATGGGTCGATTACAGATGTTAAGGTCTACCCTGGTATATATAACACTTATAATACTATTTTGTTACTGAAAGTGCAAAATAAAAAGTTTAACAACTCTACTATCACCCCAACAGCTGATACCCTCTGTCACACTAGCAAATGGAACAACTTTGTTTTCTGCTCTATGATCATACATTATATTATACATACATATGTTGTTTTACGTATTTCTGTAAATACTGTTTCTTCTCAAGATTATTTTGAGAATCTCTTACCTACCAGCGAGCTTTTAGAGCTACAAGTAAAATATGATCAAATCTAGGTGTCAGCACAATTTTGTGGCATTTACCTTTAGTCTTGTGTCCAATGTACTCTGTTCGGATGGCGGATGAGCCATTCAGATTATTCGCAATCATTGTTTCACCAGGAGCAGCTGAAATACAAGACAAAACATATAAAATGTCAAAGCTGGAAAAATTCCAACTTATCCTGATAAGTAAAAATTTCTTAAATTAAGTAAATTTAGCCTTCAGTTGAGTAGGTAAATAAGATGATTTGCCAATGGAATGAATATGTTTACAGCACAATTGTTTTTTTCTTATTCTAAACGTAAAGTGTCTTACTTCCCTCCTCAATACAAGAAAAAAATGCCTTAATTGGATTTCATTTTTTCAGTGTAGGTTTGCTTAATGACTCATCTAGTTCCATTTTAAATTAATATGAAATGTAATTAGATCGGACACGAGTAAACAGACCACAACAACCTAAGACATTTGTAAGCTGCCATTCCTCAGAGACTAGTAAAAACCACTTGTGAGCTTTTTGATAGACATGAGCATGTAAATTACAAATAAACAAAAACTCACTGACAGCAGCTTCCTTTGAGTTTGCAATGCCTGACGCAGATACTTAAGCACACTGGGGCTTTTGGTCAATATCACTTACCCTTCTGGCATCCTTTGTTGCGCAGGATCGCATCCAGCGTTGTTCCAAACACAAACCGCACGTTTTGCAACACCCCCTGCAACCATCAATGTAATCAGAATCAATGGGGGACAATGATTTTTATTGTTAAAAATGGGATAAACCCTTAAATAATCAGTCCATGACTTGTGTGCGCAATTGCGCATAAATCAATTGTTTAGCGCAACATTTTCTTCAAAAATAAATCTTAAATTAAGGCACCGCACAATAAAACTTCCCATTCTCCCTACAGTGTTCCACTCTCACCATGAACTTGTCTTTCACTGCCCCCTTGCCGACCCGAAGCCGCGCGCCGGCCGGCGTTCCCTGCGTCAGGATGTTCTGTATTGGCGCATCCATCTCAGCGGTGTTCACCTCCTCGCATCCCGTAAACAGCTGCGCGCGGTCCTCCTGCACAAACAGCGTGATGTTCTTCCAGTGACCCGTGGCCAGATCCACTTCCTCGATGGAAACCACCTGCTGCTTTTTCTCAGTGGAGTAAACGATGTCCAAGGTGTTGGCTTTGCCATTGGAGATGATCTCAAAGACGACTCCGGAGCCGTCTCGCTTTTCCACGGTCAGAAGGCTGCCCCTCGTCCGTTTAAACTGCTTGAAGTTGAGCAGAAGGAGGAAACCTCTCTCTGCTTGGACCGAGTCCACCAGGTCCCTGAAGGCGCTCTCGGGGACAGGGGGAATAAGGTCCGGGTTTAAGATCCTGTAGGCGGGGCTGTATGGGTCGTCTCCTTTCACCAGGCTTACCCCGTGGTTCTTGCTCGGGATTCGGATGAGCTCAAACAAATCAAACACACTGTTGTCTTCTCGACTCTCTGCAGGTAAATAATAAGTCAGTTCTAAGCTGTTGGAGATGTTTGAAAAACAGAAAAAGAAGAAGGAAATAATTTGATATATAAATATTTTCAACTCACCTGCGACTCTCGCACCCTCACAGGTCCACAGCATCAACAACAAAAATATCCCTGCCACCTTCATGGTGCAGCACGAACCTGATGCCGCAAGTAAATTAAAAATATCCAACAATTTAGGACTTTAGTCTAAGCTGCAAAAGATAGACTGTATGCGCAAAAGTTGCTTCTTAAAGTGAAATGCACTCACCTGTCCACTTTATTAAAGAAAAACAATTTTCAGTAATCAATCCTTTGGAAAAATATAAAAAATGGCAATAGTCCCCAATGTTTTTTAAAAGGTTAGAAATCCACAGTGAAAAGGAAAAAATAACAGATATTTACTTTTTTTTTTTTTTTTTTTGCGTTATTGAAAAAAAAAATTTCTTTGGGTATCCACCGCTTAAAGCTTCCTTTTTCAACTGAGTGAGCACAAAGTGTTATTTAAATAGTTTGATGCCTTTCCTAAGACGCGGCATCGTCCAATCATGGGGAGGAGAGCAAAAGGGACGAGCTTATCCCTTTTAGCTCAAGGCAGAGAGAGAGAGGGAGACAGTGCGTGGAGGGGGGAGGTGGACCTGCGTCTCTGCGCTGCAATCAGACTCTTAATGGGCCAGTGATTCGTTCCCTCTCCCTACGTCCATCCATCACACCTCTGGAGCATTTCCACCACACACTGAATGCCTCTGAATATTTCAGAATTTAATGATTCTAAACCAGTCAATCATTGAGACAAAAATATATTAGTTAAAATCATGTCCCATGAGAATTTCCTATTTAAAAGTTTTTATTTTATTTTAAGAAACTGTTATTCTTTTGATGCTAGTGCTTAGACATGTTTCCCTTACGTTTCAAAGCTTTTCTTGCCCCCTGTTTTTTGGTAAGCTTCAGTCTGCCCGTTTTCATACACCTGTTGCAGTTCCAGCTTCAACCGCTAGGAGCCGACATGAGTTCACTGCAGGAACTCCTGAGTCATTTCAAGGTGGAGCTGCAGAATACCTGAATAGCTTTTTTTGAATTATGGGGACTTTAATCTTGAAACATATAATTTAAAACTGTTTTGTACAACATGTAATACTTGTATTATGTTTGTAGTTATTTTATCATGTAATTAGAATAAAACCACAGAATAACACATTTCTAAAAGGGAGTGTATATATCCAGATCCAACATTAATTTGGGTTGAACTTTCATCTGTAAAAACATGACTGCAATACAATGGAAATAAACTCAGTTTAATATTCTTATATTATCAATAAAACAAGTCTGACACTGAACAAGGAATTACGTTTACCGTAATGTATATTATTGGATCAAACCTTTTTAACCCGAACAAAAATTTTGTTCAGCTTAAACATTTGGCACAAATTACACCTGACAGTACCAGTATAACCGAGTCAAGTTTGTTGCCTGTCTCACTTTGTTCACCTTTTTAATTTGCCTCCAAATCTTCCAAGGACTTGAAATCATGGCTTTGTTATGGCTACACCCAAACACTGACTTTGTTGTCCTTCAGGAACTTGACAATTAATTTGGCAGGAGATTCATTATCTATTTATAAGATCAGTTTATTTCTTATATTATGTCTTTACATTCTTATCAAGACAATTAGCAATCATCTAATTCTGTGATTTTTCTCTTGAGTAATGGATTATTCATATTCACTTATATACTAGCAAATAGATATTTTTTTTATGTCTTGTTGAGTGAACATTACATGGCACCACAATTTCTATCTAGGAGTATCTGAAGAGAATCAGGATTGTCAGAATACTGCTGGAAGAGGTTAGGTGACAGGTGAGCAAAATTTCAGTGCTGGTTGAAGAGTGAGGGATGTATGAGACTCAGAGAGGGCGGTTGGCGTCTGTCTTGGGAGGAAGGTGACCAGTGGTCCAGGCGAATGGTGCAGGTCCGGTGGGTGAGATCAGATGGTGGTGTCTGAGGGTGGACAGGCAGGTGACCTCAGGCAGGAGGGCTTTTATTGTTCTGAGGCCCGAAGCTTCACTGGTTCTTAGAGGCTGACTGAAAACGCCTCTGAGAGGAGTCCAGAGCGAAGAGGTCTCTGGAGCGGTTTCAGGCTTGGGATCCCGGGTTCTAGGAGAAGGAGCAGAGAGTAAAGGGTTAGGTTCAGGCAAAGCTAAGAAGCTAGGCTTGGTTCAGGAGCAGTTGTACCAACGCTGGAGCATTAACAAACTGACGCACCCCTCCTGGTTGCAGCTCCTTAAAAAAGCTGGGAATCAGCTTGATGAGGAGCACCTGCCCGTCCAGCCCTGCAAAGGGAAAAACCGGCCTACACCCAGGCCTGGGAGTATGACAGGTTTTTCTGAAAGGTAATAGTAATATGTGACTCTTCTTTTGACCAAAGAGGCCGGATTCACTGAAGAACTTTCAGATCATTCAGAATCCCAGGTTTTCTCTTGAATGTTCTCTTCTCTTTAATCCACAGTTTAATTTTTTATGTACGATTTAGGACTGGGGTATCCATACGAGGAGGTTGGTTTAGTGTTTGGTAAACCAGTTTAATTTAATTTAACAATATTACATTTATTTTCAGCCAAGTCACTGTAGTAATAATCAATTTTCCTATCCATTTTCCAGATTGCATCTGCCAGAATTCCAATCCGTTTCTACTGTTTGTACTTTGCTTTATTTCAGAACAAAGTTACCTTGGTGTCTCATCATATTTATACCCCTAATAAGCAGGAGTAAAGATTAAAAATAAAACCTTTTCAAGTTGGGGGACTCCAAAGCACTGTACAGAGGCAGCCCCAGCCTCTGCACAGGAGAGCAGAGGACCTCACCAATTCATCCATCCATGCCAACAATTACCTTTAACGACCAATCTTTCAGACACTTAGGTGGGTATGGGGCATTGCAGGCCAATAAAAAAGCCAAACAACCCCCATTCCAAAGGGGTGGACCCCTTTGTCGGTTTCAATTTGCATATTTTGAAAACAAAAACAAGGTATTTTTGTGCTGCTGTATAAAGCCTCGGACCCAACGCTATTCCTGACTTCTTGGATGGGAAGCGAAACGTTTTCAAACTTGGAAACAAAGTCCAGTGGATTGTATTTAATTTTCTTTTTTTGGGTATACAGTAAATACAATGATGTTGGTAAGCTACATTGTAGCCACAGCTGACACACACTGACAGAAAAAGAGGACTGCCACACATAGGTTTCCCCGTGCCCTCTGATCACCATCGGTAGGCAAAGACGGCGTCTTGTCCATGGACACAGCACTAAGGTGGATGGAGCTGGGGTTCAGACCAGCAACCCTCCAACTGTAGGGCAAACCTCTGCATCCTATGCCACTGCTGCCTCCGTTGTATGTACCACAACAACATGCAAGGAGCAAAGAGTGTAGAGAATAAGAAAAGGTAGACAAACCGATTTTATTTTGACTACCTCTCTGGATTTTTAAGACCCACATATATTGTATGCTGTGTAACAGGTTTCAAAGCTATGTGCTTAAAAACACATGGAGGCACTAAATGATGGTAACGGCTTGTTCGATGTCCTGAGATGGAGCGGTACCTTGAGGGGTCCTCAGGTCAAAGTCCAGCTGGGTTTTTTCTGTGCCAAAGAGTCTCAATGATCAGATCCTTTTATAGATGGTACTTGTTTGAACCTATGTAGGAGAAACATTTACTTCTCTGGGTAAAGTTAACTATTCTGCTTTGCAACACAAACAAATTACAACTTCAGAAAAGTGTTAACTCATGTAGGCAAAAGGCCAAATAAAAGTTGATCACCACTGGTGGTTTTCTGAAGTATAGGAAATTCTCAAAATATGTATAATCCTGGCCTGGGGTCTTTCTGCATGGAGTTTCCATGTTCTCCCTGAGCTTGCGTGAGTTCTCTCTGGGTACTCCGGCTTCCTCCCACAGTCCAAAAACATGACTGTTAGGTTAATTGGCTTCTCTAAATTCTCCTTAGGTGTGAGTGTGTGCGTGAATGGTTGTTTGTCTCTGTGTTGCCTTGCGATGGACTGGCGACCTGTCCAGAGTTTACCCCGCCTCTCGCCAATTGCCAGCTGGAGATAGGCACCAGCACCCCTCGTGACCCCACTATGGAGTAAGCGTGTTAGAAAATAGATGGATGGATGAATGAACAATCTGCTTGATACAGGTTTATGACAAAATCCCTCTATATACATTTTTTTTCTAAACATGTCTGTTTTGAATAAGTAATATGCATGTTTCTACTGTACAGTAAAAAGATAAACATACACATCTCAACCCTTGCAAAGAAAATAAACTTTACTAAAATGCTTTTTCAAATTAAAACATCCATTCATTGTTTGTAGCCTTTATCCTCAGGGTTAGGGTGTAGTGGGGGACTGTATCTTTTTCCAGTGATCACTGGGCAAGAAGCAGGATAAACACTGAGACACAGAAGATAGAGAAACCATTTCACCTAAACTTCATGTTTTAGGAATAAAACAGAGAAGGGAGAGAAAGGAAGACTTGGAAAAACAACAAAATAATTAAAAAAGGTTTTAAAAAAAGAAGAAATAAAAAGATAATGTACAACAGATATGTACGTTATTAGATGATAAATTATTAACATTTACATACGGGGAGTGGATGGGTTACATTTAATGACAGCTGAAGAGAACTTACCTTCCTCACTGTTGCTGCAGAGGGTCAGCCTCGTGACAGGTCCTGACCCAGCTGCAGGCTTCCTTCCCATTCATGATTTTCCACCAGGCCTCCCTGCTGTAAGTCACCTTCCGGTAATGTAGCGTCAAAAAGGGGAATGATTAAAGAGTGGTAAAACATGTGTGTTATCCTGAGGGCTCCATGTGCATGTGTTGAATTTAGATCATGCTTCATTGGAAAAACACTAATACATAGTTGGCTGAGTTGAAGCTAAGTGGAAGTGATAGCAGGTGGAGTAATTCACTTGTTGACTGCGATAAATTCCAGCACACCTCACGGAGTAAAGCATTAATGGGTTGACAGATTAATATCCGGAAAAAACAATCAACTTTAGGATCTTCCCCTGGGGTCTTGAAGTTAATCCATCCCCTCCTTGCAATTTATCACTGGTTTGGCCAGCTTCTCCTATTTACACCAAATTCATCATGTTTTCAACTCTGCATACCCTCTTTTTCACTTTATCATTAAAGAATTGAAAGGGGAGTTTAGATCTGCATCCCCAAAGTTGGTCCTCGAGGGCCGCTGTCCTGCAGATGTTAGAGGTTTCTCTGCTTTAGCACAGCTGATTCTGACTGCAATTCAGCAAAAACTTGTTAATCAATG